GAGTGTTTGCAAAAATGAAGAGAGTATGTAATATAGTTAAATATGCTTATTTAAAACAGGTAAACTATATCTTTAAATTTTGTTACAAGTATTTTTTATAAAATGTAAACAATTGCTTTAATTAATATTTGAATTACAAAGCTTGTTAGTAAAATTTTTAAATCAGAAAACAAACTAAAATTGTGCCAGTAGTTGTTTGCTAATAAATATTTTAATATCTTATTTTAAAATGCAATTTTATGAACTTTATTAACGAAACTATACATTAATATATTAATTGTGTATATTAATGTTACATATTAATATATACATTAATTAATTAATTAATTAAAATTAATTATTAATGTGAGTTTTCTAAAACTAAAATATCGTAAATAAATATTATTTTTGTCCATAGTTTTAAATTATAATAAAATTTTATAGTCTAGAAAAAACTTAAAATATAAATGTTTTCGAATTTAACGGAAAGTATACAAATACATTTTTGTTACCAAAACGCAGAAATTGGCTTCGTACGTAAGGTTAAAGTTGTTGAAATTACACTTTATGATTTTGAAAGAGAAAAATGTATGTTATTCAGTGCACATTGAAATTATAATTGGTTGGAGAAAGATGAGAAAACTTTATTAAGTTGACTAAAAACCCATGTTTTTTATAATTATCCTGAAAGTTAAAATTGATACCTGTTGATTACAATAATAATCACGTTTACACTGAATAAGTTTCTGTTGAATATTAACTAAGTTAGAATTGAATAAAAAATTTCATATAAATTATAAAGCAAATTAAAATTGAGCTTATAATTTAATATAATTATAATCTCAATTTTAATTTTCTTCATAATTTAAGTCGTTTGGCATATTCGTAAAAAAAGCATTTGGTTTACTGTATTTTTTTAAATTTTAATAGCTTAAAATTTTNATAATTTAATATAATTATAATCTCAATTTTAATTTGCTTCATAATTTAAGTCGTTTGGCATATTCGTAAAAAAAGCATTTGGTTTACTGGTTTTTTTTTAAATTTTAATAGTTTAAAATTTTAATTAAAGTACATTTTTCAAATTATTTTATTATTGTATGATTATTAATTTACTATTAAAATTTAACATATGATCTGTGGGTTATTTAAATATTTCTTTTACATATATATATATTTAAAAATTTTCAATAATTGTATATCTTTAATGTGAATAATTGTGTATCTTTAATGTCTTAATTTTACTTGTTTTAAATTTTAGACTTGAATCCTCGTAAGTTGTGCGTTATTTTGGATCATTTTTTTATTATTTAATAAATAAATATTTATTTAAATACACATTTTTAATTTTGAAAAATCATACGAATTTAACAATATACAAATTTATGTTTTGTAGTTGACTACCTTCAGAAAAGTAAATTCTTTTTTCAATATTATCAATGATATGGTGATTATAATATAATTCTGCATGCTAAGTTCATTTTTTCTAAGTAAATAAAATGATTCATACAAAAAATTATTACCAAAAAATGAATTTATATTACTGAATCTATGTCAAATACGCAGCATTTCGAAAAGAAATATAATGCTAAACTACACGATTTAGCATTGATCAGAAGTAATTGCTCCAAACAATTACTGGTATTGTCGGTGAACATATTCAGGTAGAATTTAAAACATAACATCACAGACAAAAAAACAAGTGCCTCTCTAAAATAGTTATTAAATTTCAGATCCAGTCTCTTCATCAACTAGTAATTAAAAAAAATACAGGCCAAGAGACTAAATCGTTAAATTACTTTGAGGATAACCTGTACTTCCCACATAATATTAGTGTCTAAACAGGAATTTACTCTGGATAACGAAAAAAACGAGAAGAAAAAAGAATCAGTGTTGCTTCTTTTTTCGAGTGCAAGACAAACTGTTGAAGTTCACTAGTCAGAAACAAGAACGCTACGGTCACACAGAGACATGTAAAATTTCGTTCCGAAATCGAGCTAAAAAAAACAACACTGGAATCTGCTTTTTTTTTGAACATTACTCAAATGCACTGTCGAAAGTTCTTATGTAACGGACAAAAAACATCAATATATAAATCTTAATATTATTCTACAGGTTTCAATTGTCTTATAATTGGAAAATTGCTAAGGTATCCATGCGTCAAAACTCATCAAACTTAATCTCGTAGCACTTAAATATCTCTCTTCTATATATATAATATAAAAATATCTACAGAATGCATGAAGCTAAACAGGCCAGCCGAAGAAAACAGTTTTTTACCCGTTGCCTTAACATTTTCACAATGTTTAGCATTTAAGTATGAATACAATCTCAGACAATTAACTATTGTATTAAAATTACAACAAATTTAAGCGATATTTAAACTAAAATTTAACGAAATATGTTTTAAAATTTCAATGGAGCAGACTAAGCTGCTTGACAACAAATATAGATAGATTTGTGGAATGAGTGTCGATAATTTTTTAATATTTTGTAATTAGCTGATCATATAATATTGTTTGCAATCACCAACTTACTTTTATTATACTGATTATTCTAAATGTTTTTAATAATATTCAAGCACATTGTAAAATCAATAAAAGTAATATAAAATTTGAGATTCTGAGAAAAATATTTTAAAAAATTGGAAAAATTAATTATAATATATGGCATTCGTTACTTTTTTTGAACCGAAGTAAAATGTGTTCATGTTAGAAATAGCTGCTGACGTTACATTCTAAGTATTTGTACTGCAGCATATGCAACTAAATACTTTAAGTAAGTGATGGGAAATGTATTAATTTCAAGTAAGCTGTTTAATAACTTAATACAAATTTTATTTCATGAAAAATACATCGAAGTTTTTTTAGTAGATACTAGAATTTCACTAATTCTAAATTTTTTCTGTTACCAATTGAACTAACTTCTACTGCAGACCGGAACCTTCTCAACAAGATAGCTCTAACTACGGCTTAGAATATTATTTCTCATTCTTATAATAAAAAAATTTCAAATAAAATTACGTTTACATATTAAACATAAATGAAACCCCGCGTTTTATAACTGTTTTTCTTTTTTATTCGTAAACTATTTTTAAATCAAAAATAATTTAAAAAAGGCAGGAAAATAATTGATGTGATAGACCATTATACGCCTAAATGCAACAAAGCCAATATCACTGCCAGCAGTTAGGCTACAGAGAGCAATTACTAAAGTTTTTTTGCAGCATTCAGAAATATAATTAAATAAAATATAATTAAATATAATTAAGAAGATATAATTAAATATAATTAAGAAGATATAATTAAATATAATTAAGAAAATATAATTAAATTTAAAATATTTTAAAAAAATCTTTCTTTTCCCAAGTACGATTAAATGCACAATTGTTGTTTAGTGCGTTGTTTCATAAGAAATGCTGTATTAGCTTATAATTTGAACTCTGATCTGCGGTATAAAAAAATTTAAAATAATATTTTCTAAGAATTGTAGGATAAAAATAATAGCTGTTTTGATAAAAAAAAATAACTGTTCTTCAATCACATGTTATTAAATTTTTTTTTGCAGCAAATCCATTACATGGCATAGGTAAAGGCTGTTTACTTAGTTTTATGCGTTTTGAGGTTGCTCAAAAGCTTTTTCATATAATGTTTATTTTTTACTTTTAATACATATTTATTTCATGACTGAATATAAGATCAAATATTCAAAAATATATATTCAATTTATATTCAAGTTCAAAATATTAAATTATGCTTTGACACTTTAATACCTGTTCCAAAAAATCATGTTTTTCATTATACTAATTTGCGTGCAAAAGTTTACTCTGTGTTTTCAGACGCATACCTTTACAAATTTACATACAATTTGGAACTATTATTAAAATAAATATTTATTTGCTATAAAATACAATTAGCATAGCTGTCTTTAGATAAAAAGGGATTTTTTAACGTAATGTACTTTTTTGAATATTTTCCTTTTGTTGTATAAGGATTTTTTTAAACTGATTTTAGATTTTTTTTAAACAGTTAAAAATATCTAAATGTATCCCAATCCTGGAACAGTTTACACACAGCTATTGTATCTGATTATCATGAAAGCATGTTTGGAAATTTTCACGAAAAATAATTGTGTTTATTATTCATTTCACGCATTATTTTTTGTCTCTGTAATAGCTCTGTAAACTTTTATGCATTTAAAAAAATTTCAAACATATCCCATTTCATAGATGAAAACAAAATATATGAATGATAAAAATTTTGCTCATGTTTTTTTCTATTATATTTGCCTCGCATAAAAATTTTCGTTGCAGTGAGATAGTGCTGTTGAAAAAATTATCTAATGCAGCTCCTCCCATTTATATTCAACAGTGTTACTCTAATAGTTCTTGACCAATATTACTCTAATATATTATGGACATTAACTTGTTCTGTTTTGAAATATAAACTATGTGCTAGGCATTGGTTCAATTCTCATGAAAAACGTTATTCCATTCAAGGTATAATAGGAGACATTTTAATAAATTATTATAACTATTTTAAAACTTTTATAAATTTGTTTATTTTATAAATTATGATAAACTGTTTTAAAAATTATTAGAAAATAAAATTAAATTATGAAGAATAGTTAAGTCGCAAAATAGTTTTCATTGTTGAGGTAAGTCTATATATATATA